CAAAACTTTTGTTTTTAGGGCCATATAATGCTTTGTTTAGGAATTATTTAACGATATAACTGAGTACTGCGGGTTGCATATTTGTTGAATATTTAGATGCGTTTTTTAAACACACCCTTCGTATTTTTAAAGTTAAAGTGCAATTCGTCACGTATACGTAAAAGTATCTTTCTTTAGACACATCATTTATAAATATTGGTTGCGTGTGAGAGTCGCGAAAGATTTCTATTCTACTGAAATAAGATAGGAGACATTTTTTTTATTCTTACACACTACGAAATAGACATAATATGCTGCCATTACGGCGTGCAGTAGAAGTTTTAAAAGAGAATATGTCCAAATTTCATTGTAATTATATGAACTAGACCGTAACCGTCACAAATACGAGAAAATGTATGTAATGATATAATACAATTAGTTTTTACTTTCTCGCTACGGAGTAGTGGATCTCTCACACGTGGTGTAGCCGAATCACTGATTTGTGGATCCTTAACACCGAAAAATCGAATAACAGCAAGACATATTTCAGTCCGTCTGTCCGTTCAGTCCATTCGTCTGTGAAAAAGCGGCTTAACCGACGTGCGCCAAAATCGATTTTAGCGAATCGATTTCAACGCTGATGTCACGGGCCCTTAAATCTGAAATGGATATTTTAATTTTGGGGGGTACGTACTGTGATGCCTCTAGAGGATTTAGAAAATTTTCAAAAACTGGCTTTAGAAAAAGTGTGAAGAACGTGCAGGAGAATGATGCAGTTCGCATGATCGTTAAAAACCCTGATGTTTGGAAAAAACAAAAGTTCAATTTTTTTCCGGCGTCTTCCTACAACTATGAAGAAGGAGATTTTATCCTTAATGAAATCTGTTCCTCAATGATAGATTTTGAAATAAGATCATAAGATAATTTCCAAGTTTTGGAAAATGTGAGTATATTTCGTTAAATTTAGCGTGAAAATACGAGTGACACAGTACGTGCTGTTTTAACATCACTAGTTTTAAAAAGTGCACTGAAGGGTGTACAGTTCTTAAAATCATGGATCAATCATTAATAAAGAAAATTAGATATATTTTGAATCTTTTAATATTCCGGTAAGTTAGCGTGGTATTGAGACTGGAAAAGAAAGAATACTTCTCGAAAAATATTTCGTATCCCTCTCCCATAGTCGTTACAGAAAGGGCCAGACATTGGACAAATTTTGCAATGAATGCCACGCCTCACCTCTCAGAGAAATTTAAAATAACTGTAAAGCATGATTCCAGAAAGTACAAAGAGACAAAAGACTACGGTTTGGACCACTTGCGGTCACTTCCTAAGAAGCAGATGCAAAGGAAGTCATCTACTTAACCTTCCATCTGCGACTCGCAACGATGCCTGGAAGGATGTTACACAACCTTCACTTATGACAGAATCTCTGCTGATCCAACCTTCTCGTCAGAGACGGCATGCCACGCTCGCTCGTTC